TAGACCTTAAGCATAAATAAAAATAATATTTTTGCCTGAAACTAATTATGAATTGCAGAAGTGTTGAGTAATATGGAGAAAACAGTTCAGGTCCACTGCCACGGATGATTTGACTGCAGCGCTGCAATTATGTTTTGATTAGAAGCACCAAAAATCAAACATTTCAATACATACAACTAGTGGGAACAATTAAAACAAAAAGAGCTGGATGTTTATTACTGATTCCACCTGAACCCTTCAGAACTTCTTCTTTCCATAACCCCGCTTTATCAGTTCAGCCTTCCACACAGCAAAGGGTTTTGTTTCGGTCTCCTCACAATGCCAGTTGCCAAAATACTGCCGATGAGTTGACATTATTCTCTCTTTATTGCACTTTCTGCACTGGATAGCCTCTGATCGTCGCACATACTTCCTGGTACAAATGCCATCTTTTTCCTTGACCAGTTTTCTCTTCCAGTGGTACTGTGTGGTGTAAGGAGCAGGAACCGAATGGCAGCTCGCTGTTGCTGGTGCATCAATCTTTTGTGCAGGTGTTAAAACCACAATCATTTGTTTTGACAGAAAAGGGCTGGAAAACAAAACTGGCAAAGTCAACGTTGAGCCTGACTGGGCTTGAGCAAGAGCAGGTTGTTCTGTTGAGGCTTCTTCTTGTGTTGTGTTGCTGTTTTCCATCACAGTGTCTGGAGGCAAGTTTGAAATGAGAGGCTTGTCATCGCAATTGTACTCCATATGATCCTCTTCTTTTATGAAAGGAACCTTCTCTGGAGCCGTCACTCCTGTCGCCGGTGAGGATGTGATTGGAGGAAAGAGATCTTCCCCCTTAAACGGAGCACCTCGGCTTGTCCTGGAAAAGATTGAATGACTCACATTAATATTTTTAAAGTGCCTCTTGGAAATACCAAGCTGAAGTATATTTTGCATACATCGATGGAGAAGCTTCTATGGGTTGATGTGCGATTGTCCAATCCCCAATGTCCTCTAGTTTGCAGCAGCCCTCATTTTTAGCCATTTGGACGTCAGTGGTTTCCATCTGTCTAATGATAAATCTACTGTCCTGGATTGCTTTGCCAGTCTGATGGTAAAGGTACTCGACCCCAATCAGTTCACCTGAAAATGAGTTGAAGATCAATGCACTTGAAATCAACACATGCAATCAAAATGTAACCATGTTTTATTAAATGGATAGTTCACATAAATATGAAAATTCATTCTCACGTCATTATAAAATTTCTTTCTTGTGTGAAACACAAAAGAAGCCATTTTTAAGTTTTGGTGACAATTACGTTCAGTGTCATTATTGTTAACAAAAAAAGTAAAGGCTGATATATATATATATA